CCCGTCCGTGCGGGACCCCCTCCCCGCTGCGGGGTGCGCAGCCCCAGCCCCCGCTCGCAGAGCTCCGTCCCGGGGAAGCTGCCGCCTGGTCCTTTGGGGACCCCCCGGGTCACCCTGACCCCGGGGAGGGGTCTCCCCGCTCCCGTGGTGGTGGGGAGCAGGCAGAGGGATGGGGCGAGGGCTCCCCCCCCCTTCCCCAGGTCTGCCCGTGCCCGCGGGGACGGGGGTCTGCCCTCCCGTGGGGTGCGGGTCCCCACATCGAGCTGGGTCAGGCCCGTGGAGGGGGCGGCTGTTTACGTGTTTGCCAGCGCTGCGGCCCCCAGTGTCTCCCAGGGCCTGCCATCGCTCAAACTGTAACGATGCTCATGCTCTAATTATTTCCAATTAACAGCTCAGGGGCCTGATGAGGTGCAGCTGGGGACCCCTGCGGGGAGCAGGCCCTGTTGGGCTATGGGGAGGGGGGCTGAGGCCGGGGCTGGGGTTGGCCCCTCTCCCTGTGGACGTGCCCACTGGTGTACGTGCCTGTTGGGGTGCGGGGCCAGCACCCAGGGCAGTGGGGACCAGACTGGGATTGGGGGTGGGAGGGGGTGGTGGTGGGGGGCATTGCCATGACAACATGCACACCATTACACAACCCCAGCTGGGGCGGCGTAATGGGATTTGTGTGGCTGAGCCTCTCCAGTTAACCCACTTTGTCTGCCCAGCTGGGGACGCGGGTCCAGGCCCCGAGTGCAGCAGCCGGCACAGCTCTGCCAGGGGAAACTGAGGCACGCGCCCTTGAGGCAGTTGAACATCGGAAGGGAGCGTCAGGAGCAGCTGTGTGGTGCGGGCAGGGCTCGGGGTGCAGGCAGGACTTGGGGCTTCGTGCTCGCTGCCGGCTCCCTCCCACCGTGCGGCTCCGGCGCTGCCATCTGGGCGCGTGCCCGGTGCTGTCTGGCAGCTTCTGCAGGCACAGTTGGCAGGAATGGTGCTGGGGGACAGACGTCCCTGTCCTCTCACCACCTCTCCCTGCCAGAGACCCAGATAGCGGCAGGGGAGGAGGCCGGGCTTTAGCTGGGGCCTGGCCCGACGCAGTGCTGCGCGGTGTTGGCGTGGCAGGCAGCTGCCTGTTACTGAGGCAACCTGCCTGCAGCTGCCTTTGCCCCTGTTGCTCAGAGCGCGGGTCGCTGCGTTGCTGCAGCTGGAGCGGCATCGGCGTGGGTGCAGGGTGCGACATCCTCAGAGGTCGCGTTTGGCTCTGCCTTGGCCAGCATCTCCAGGGAGAAACTAGGGCAGGGCTGGCTTCTCAGGGGGAGATCTGGGGGAGGGGGCTGGGGACAGATTGGAGGGCACGCTGCCTGCGAGCCTGGCTCGGCGTGGTGCCACCCACCGCTATTTATACTGGAGCTCCAGCATGCTTTTTGCTGGAGATGTCACCTCCGATCCTGTCTCTGCTGCCTGCCTTTCTCCATCCCTCCATCCCATCTGTGCGTCCTGTAGTGGGGCTGGCACTATGTCCGGGCTGGGGTGGTGGTGCAGCAAGGGGGGCTCGGCATCTTTCCTGCCGCCCCAGGATGTGTGCAGGGTTGGGGGGTGAGGTGGGAGCACCCCGTTTCCCATGGTGATGCTGTTACAGCTGTGAGCATCCCTGCCTGCCTCTGCTCTGCACTGTGGCTGGTGCTGCCAAGCAGATGAAAGGTCCTTTTTGGTGACCACCGTGGAGCAGCTTTGTGCCACCTGCAGCAGTCACCTCCCATTCCCTCCACCGTGCAACCCCGGGGGCTGCTGACGGGAAGCAGTGACACAGGGCAGGAGGCAGCGGGGAGGCTGAGCCCCTGGGCCAGCGCTCCAGTAGTGCGGGGGTTCACCCTTCGCCCTTCTCCCCCAGTCCTGTGTGCTGAGCGGGTGGTCAGGATCACGAAGACCTACCATGACATCGATGCCGTCACCAACCTGCTGGATGAGGTATGTCAGTGCTCGCCCCGTGCGTGGGCTTGGGCTGGTGTGAGGGCCGGGGACTGATGGGACCCTGGGGACACAGGGGTGGGCGAGGGCTGGGGAAGGGGGGGGGCAGAGCAGGGGACAGGCCCCGGCTGACGCAGACCTGCCCCTTGCAGAAGGAGCGGGACCTGGAGCTGGCGGCGCGCATCGGGCAGTCCCTGCTGAAGCAGAACCGGAGCCTGACCGAGCGCAATGAGCTCCTGGAGGAGCAGCTGGAGTTGGCCAAAGAGGAGGTAATGGCTCCCGGGTACAGGGTCCTGGCCTCGGCCCCCTGCGTGCCCAGCCCGGGGGCCGTGGGCGGCTGTGGTCCCCTTGGCTGTGCCCTGATGCCCCTTGCCCTCCCAGATCGCGCAGCTGCGCCACGAGGTCTCCATGCGGGACGACCTGCTCCACTTCTACACCACCACAACGGAGGAGAGCGAGCCCACCACCGCCACCTCCACACCGTGAGTGGGGGGGTCCCTGTCCCACCACTTCACCTGGGGCACAGCTGCTCCTGGGGGGCTGGGCAGAGGCGTTGGGCAGGAGTCCCTGGGGTAGCGCCGGGGCTGGCACTCCCTTCCCTCCCATGGTGGCCGTGGGTCCAGACCCCCAGAGATGGGTCGCTGCGGATGCCTGCCTGGGAGCTGGGGGGAGTGGGCAGGGGGCTGGGTGGGCAGCCCCATCCTGCCTGCACTGCGGGTGCTCAGTGCCCTCCCTGCTGTCCCCAGGCTGCGCCGGCAAGAGTCCTCGCTGTCCCTGCAGCAGTACTTCCAGTACGACACCTTGCAGCAGAAACTCAAGTGCCTGGAGGAGGAAAACCAGAAACTTCGCATGGAGGTGAGCAGAGCCGGCTGGTGGGACGCCCCTCTCTGTGCCCACCTCTTCCCCTCCTGGTGCCGGGGGACCTGAGCTGGCCCCTACGGAGGCTGGAGGTCCTGCCCATCATGCTCAGCCCCTCCGACACTCTCTCCCAGGCCACCAACATTGCAGCCAAGACCTGTCAGTATGAGGACCAGGAGCAGCAGCTGATGATCGACTGTGTGGAGCAGTTCTGTATGTGGGGCTGGGCTCGCGGGGGGCAGCTCCTCTCTGGGCTTGGGTTGGGGGGGTCTGCAGGCACTGCCCAGCATCACTGCATGGGCTGGGGAACCATGCCCTGGCGGTGATGGACCCTGGGCCTTCCCCAGCTGAAGCAAGCCAGCAGGTCATTTACCTCTCCGACGAGCTGGCCCGCAAGACAGAGGACACTGTGCGGCAGCAGGAGGAGATCAGCCAGCTCCTGGCGCAGGTTGTGGACCTGCAGCAGAAGTGCCGCACGGTGAGTGTCCCCTGCCCGTGCCAGGGGGATGCTGGGGGGGACACACACACGGGGCACAGCTCCCTGACCTGCCCGCTCCTGCCCACAGTACGGCTCAGAGGTGGAGGAGCTCCAGCAGCACCTGGCCGTGGCAAAAGAGGTGCAGCAGCAGCTCCGGATGGAGGTGAGCCCGGGGAGGGCCTGGCCATGGGTGCCCCGGCTGCTGGGGGAAGGGGGGGTCCTGCCCCATCGCCGATGGGGCTGTGCCTGAGCTGCGCCTGTGCCCGCAGCTGCGGGACCTGCAGGAGAAGTACGCCGAGTGCGGTGGGATGCTGCAGGAAGCCCAGGAGGAGGTCAAGAGCCTGCGCAGCCGCAGCCTGCCCAACAGCACCGTCAGCCGCTACGGCACGCCGAGCCTCCTGCCCGTGGTGAGCGGGGGGTGCGGGCAGGGCTGAGCAGCGGGAGGGCTGGGGGGGCTCCGCTCTCCCCTCTGCTGACACTGGGTCCCCCGTGTCTCCAGGACTCGCTGGCGGCTGAGATCAAGGGGATGATGAGGAAGGGCACAGACAGCTCCTCCTCGGACTACAAGTGAGTGCTGGCATCGGTGGCTCGTGCTGGGCCACGAGATGGGGGGGGTCCCTGGGGGGCTGGCTCAAGGGTCCATCCCTGCCTGCTTCCTGCCCGTAGGAGCTACCTGCGTGTCTTTGAGACGGTGAAAGCGGTGAACCAGGCGGCCAAAGCCAGGTCTTGCTCCGAGTCTCCCCACAACATGCCGGGCTCCAAGCAGTTGTCAGCCGCCCCTTCTGGTGGGGCCAGCACCCCCCGCACCAGCTGCTCCGGCCCCGAGGGTGCCCAGTGAGTGCTGCAGTGGGGACTCGGGCTGGGTGGGACAGAGCGGCTGCCCCCGCGTAGGAGATGGGCGGTTGGCAAGATGTTGATCACATCGGAGCATTAATCAACGCCGCCAGCCTGGGGCAGGAGGAGGGCAGGCGCAGCCGGAGCTTGCTGCCGGCTGGGGTCCGGCGCAGCGTTGGGGGGTGTGTGGCGTGGGACCGCGGCCCGAGCACCCTAACGCTGTGCCCGCCGGCAGGGGCGAGAGGGCCGGAGAGGAGCCCCGGGCAGCCCCGGGCCGGCAGGACCTGGAGGCGGCGGTGCAGCGGCTGTCGGTGCGGCAGCAGAGCCATGCCTCGGAGGAGCGCTCCTTCTTCGAAGCAGAGCGGGAGCGCAAGCTTGGGCGGCTGAGGGACGGGGAGAGCTCCAGCGGCTTCCTCACCCCCAACGAGAGCATCGTCTCCACTGGGACCACCTACTCAGGGAGCTCGGAGCTCACCGCTGGCTCCGGCTTCTCCCTCTGCTCCCTCACCTACCTGCCTGACAAGCTGCAGATCGTGAAGCCCCTGGAAGGTGAGGGGTGGAGGGGGCTTCCTGGTGCGCAGAGATGGAGGTGCCGGGAGGATCCCATGACACCAGCTCATTCTCCCCGTCTGTGTGTGTGTCCCCCCCCAGGCTCTGTGACACTCCACCACTGGCAGCAGCTGGCACGGCCCAACCTGGGTGGGATCCTGGTGCCCCGTCCCGGGGTGCTTACCAAAGACTTCAGGCAGCTGGACATTGACCTGGAGGAGGTCTACAGCCTCAATGACCTGGAGGAAGATGACGTGGACACCAGCTCCTTCCAGCTGCTCCCTACCTCTATGCCCGCCAAAGCCAAGGAGCGCTCCGGGGGTGAGCACGGAGCGAGGGGGCGGGGGGGATGCGGCCCCTGGGACGCCCCTGCCCTGCCCAGGCTGCTCCTCGCATCCCCCCACGCTCTCCCCTCTTGCAGCAGCCTGTCCTTTTCACCCGTCTGTCCCCGTGGGGATGCTCCATCTGCAGCTGCACAAGGGCCGTTATGCAGCCGCCCTGGTGTGGTGAGCCCTCGCCGTCATGCTGGCGTGTGCCTGCTGCGGCCTGGGCATGTGGAAGGGACAGGTCTGGGAGAAATGTCAGCTCCTGTTCACACTTGTGCTCCCAGCCCTCTCTTCTGAGCAAGCGCCGGACCCAAATGCTGCTGGAGATGTGGCCCGTGCATGCAGCTTTCTGCTGTCCATGGCAGCTCACAGCCCAGCTTTGGCTCTCCTCTCTGCCCAGAGCCCTGCTCTCTGCCTGTGTTGTGCCCTCCCTCCCCATTAACCCAGTGTCTCCTGTCCCTTCCAGTGTTCCTCTCTGTTAACAACCTCCCCCAGACCCCGTCTACCTTCACCATCACCACCTGCCACATCCTCCACCCCACCACTGAGATCACTACGGTGACACCCAGGTAAGGCGTGTGGCCCCCCCACCGCCTGCACTGCCTGCACCGCTACCCCACCAGCCCCCCCCGTCCCCTCCTAACCCTCTCGTCACCCTGTGGCTGGCTCTGTGCAGCTCGAGGAAGCAGCGGGCTGGGGACCGCCTGCAGCCCCTGATGCTCTGAGAGATGCCCGGCACTTGAAATGTCCCTGAATCTGGCTGCTTGAGTGGCTGTGCACCCCCCTGGGGGGCTGGGGCCCGGCCGCCCCCCCCCCCCCCCCCCAGCCTCTGCCCTGCAGCACCATGATGGGAAGAAGAGCCTTCCTCAGGGTGGAGAAGGCTGGGCTCACCTCGGGGAGCAGTTCCCTGGGGACAGAGCAGCATTTGCTCCTGGCACTGGCAGGGAGTCACCTTCCCTGGGAATGGATGTGGCTTTCCTCCTCCCTGCACTTGTGCACCAGCCAGGACCTTTCCCCAGGCTGGACTGGAGGAGCCAGGCGCTAGGCTGCCCCTTAATTAATGAGCACTGTTGCTTAGCCCTAATAACGCCCCCCCCCGCCAAGGCTTGTTCGGGGGTTGATGTGAGCTGGAGTTCACTGCGCACTGTTAGACAAAAACCCTGCATGTTTGGAAAACGCTTGTAGAGCAGCAACCATGTCCCATCCCCTCCTGGCTGCCTGAAAGCTGGGGGGGCATGGACCCCACCCCCCCCAGGGCTGTGCCACGAGCTTTGGGGCCCTTGGGCAATGCTGCAAGCATGGGGGTCTCCCACAGCCTGAGGCATGTTAGGTGAATTAATGTGTAGGAAGAAGGAAGGGGGGCCCTGCTCTGCCTGAGGACCCCCTGGCCCCTGCAGCAGCATCCCCCAGGACGGGGCCCCCCACTGACCCCCCCTTCTGCTCTCTCTTCCCCTCCAGTCTGTATAACGCCGTCGTGCCTTCTTGTGGGCCCTTTGAGGGGCTGAGCCTCGGCAGCCCCTCGCCGGAGCCGTCTTCCCCCATGCTGGCACCTGGCCCCGGACCCCTGAGCACGCCTGTGGGACTCGTCAGGCTCTTGCTGGCGCGGGGCATCTCTGCCTCCGTGCCAGGGACTGGGTCGCAGTGGGCCCCCCCGCTCCCCTCCCAGGACCCCCAGCATGCTGACACTCGGCCCTTCCCTGCGCCCGGGGGGCAGGACGGACCCCCGCTCAGGAGCAGCATCTTCAGCTTGAACCTGGTGGAGAAGCTGCGGCGCCTGGGGCTGGACAAGGTGGTGGCCAGAGGGGAGATGTCTTATGCCCGAGGAGAGTGCAGGGGAGCCCGGGATGCGCTGACGTGATGGTGCTGCGGAGCCCACAAGCCCGGGATGAGACATGTCCTCTTCATCGCCCATCCACAGGGAAATGGAGATGGGACAGGCTTTCAGCCCCTGCTCTGGGACCCGGCAGCAGGCCCAGTACCGGCTCAGAGGGGTTTTGCCCTGGCTGCAAGGACACAACCCTGCGGTGCCGTGTGGTCCCAGCACGATGCTTCCCCGGCCCTGTGCTATGCTGCGGCAGGGTCCTGTGTGCTGGGAGCTGCATGGGGTGATGCAGCTGGGGAGAGCCAGCTCCGGGCAGGGGGTGCTGGCTGACCCTGTCCCATGCTGTGGGGGTACGGAGCCTTCGCAGGAGCTGGTTGTTGGCAATAAAAACTGTTCTTGCTTCTGCTGAGCCTGTCCGAGGAGCAGCTCGGCCCTTTGGGGCTGTCTGGGCTGCTGCATCGAAGGGTGATGCTCAGTCTGGGCTCAGGTGGTCCTGGGGGGATGACACCCGCCTGTGCCAGGGTGAGACCTCCCACACTGGGCTGGGCTCCTGGCCAGCATCTGGGCTGACTTTGAAAGGGAATGGTGGTTTTAAACTCTTTCCTGCCCATCGAATAGCAGTAGCAGCAGCACTCCCCAGCACGGGGACTCCTGGCGCAGGTGTTTCTCGGGGTGTAGTTGTTGCTCCCACCGACTGTGTCCCTCGCTCCAGGCTGTGCCCTGTTCCTTGTCAAATAAATGTGAAATCACGAAGCAGCTCGTGTGTGCCGTGTCTGCTGCCATGGGCCGTGTCTGCCACTGTGCTGTTGGGTGTCTGCCCTGCCATTCCTGGTGGGGCTGGGGGCAAAGCCCACCCGCCTGGCCGCCCTCCTCTGCCCCAACTCTTCCCAGCAAAGACGTGAACAGCAGCGGCTGTAGTGCCAAAGCTTTATTGCAGGAAGGAACATGCACTGAGCGTGCTGGTGCTCTGCACAGTGCGGCCAGCCCAGCGGCTACACGGCATTGACCGACTCCTCAGCGCTGCGACGGCCGAAGTCCATCCAGTCGGGGTAGTAGTGGTCGTGCAGGGCCGCCATCCCCTCGTCCCCGTGCACGTAGCCCTTGCGCTCTCTCAGCTCTGCCAGGGCAAGGGCAGCAGGTTAGAGCTGCCCCGGGCTGGGGGCTGGCATGGGATGGGGGGCTGGGCTGTGCTTTATGGACCCCCCCCCCCCCACAGCTGCCCACCCTGCACCTCCCGGTACCTGTGAAGATGGGCAGGAGCTGGGAGATGAAGTGCTTCTGCTCCTGGGACAGGGAGTCGGGCCAGTCCCGCCGGACCAGGCTGGTGGGGAGCTGGCGGGGGTCCTCCGCAGCGCCCCGTGCCTCTGCCGCGGGCCGGCACAGGCAGGCGGTCGCCATGATAGCGAGGACGAGGCCGATGCACACCTTCACCTTCATGGCTGCGGAGAGACTGAGCGGGGAAGGGGAGCAGAGGGGCTGCAGCCACCGAACTGGGGACACAGGCTCAGCCTGCAGCAAGGGGCGACCCATGCGGGGAGCACGATACGTGTCCCCAGGGCATGGCCAGTTCACAAGTCCCCACTGCCCCTGCTAGTGGGTCCCCAAGTCCCCTCCATCCTTCTCATCTGGTCCCCGAGTCTTCTCCATCCCTCTCTCCCAGCAGGTCCCCCAAGTCCCCTCCGTCCTTTTCGTCTGGTCCCCAGGTCCCCAACATCCCTCTCGCCCAGTGGGTCCCCAAGTCCCCTCCATCCTTCTCATCTGGTCCCCGAGTCTTCTCCATCCCTCTCTCCCAGCGGGTCCCCAAGTCCCCTCTGGCCGGTCCCTGCAGCCCGGCCGGGACTCACCTGCTGGCCCCGGGGCTCGGCGGGGTGGCTCGGCGGGGTGGCTCGGCAGGGTCCAGGGCAGCCCCGGCTCACCCCGCTTTTAAAGGCGCTGCCACGACTGCCCCACCCCGGGGCGGCTCCACACTCACCCGCAGAGACACGGGGCAGCCCCACGGGCACACACGTGTGCACCCACACCCACTCACAGACACACACCGCCGGGGCTGCAGGACCGTGTGTCTGTGTGGATCCATGCGTACGGCTGGAGACTGTATGAGGCAATTGGCCATGATTGTATGTGTGCGTCTATAAACACGTAACTATTTTATCTGGCCATACCTATCTACATTTGTGTGTTATTTTATACATACATACACACATATAGATCAATGTATACACACATACAGCTATGTATGTGTATAGATATGTATAAACATATATAGGTATAGCTGTAGATATGGACATGTGCGTGTATATATATGCATAGAGTGCATGCACATGTAAATATACACACATATACGTGCAGAGCTTGATAGAGATAGATCCATATATACTCATCTATAGTGTCCATATACATACAAAGATATACATGCACATATACAGGTATAGGTACTTGCATACATATATATGCATGTTCATCTATAGCTACATATGGACATAGGTAAATATAAATCTAGATAGAGCTACCTAGAGGGTACTTGGCCTTGGTTGCATTTATATATGTAGAAAAGCATAGCTATTTATCTAGCTGAACATGCGCACCTATACATACATATCTATACACCCACATACGTGTACGTATACACACACAATTAGAAATACATATATATATATATATATATATATACACACACACGTACATATACATGCAGATACCTATGCAGGTATGTACATATACACATGAGTGTATAACTATGCAGGTAGGTGCATAGACACATGAGTGTATAACTAGCTAAAAGATATAGTCATAGCTGCAGATGTATATATAGATGTATACATAGGTGTAGATCTAGACAGAGCTATAAAACTGGGGGATGGGGGGGGTGTCTGTGCGTGTGGCAATTGGCCCCCTGTGGTCAGTTTATCTGTCTGTCACAGGGACATTCATGCATAGATAGGTAACTATACATATCTATATGTACACATACAGAGAGAGAAAGAAAGAGCACACATGAGATGTATATGTGTGTGTGGGTAGGTTTATTTGCAAGGTAACTGTAAGGAGCAATTGGCCACAGCACTATGTATGCGTATATACCTATATATGTGTGTGTGTGATTTATATCTATCTGTCTAACTACATACGTAATTAAATGCATATACAGCTTACACATATACATAATAGATGCATAGCTACATCTAGATATAAATGGAAGTATAGCTATAGCTATAACTGATAGCTAGACATATAGATGTGCACATATGTGTGTGTGCGTGGAAGGAGCCTATATGGGGCAATTGGCCATGGTTATGTGCATGCATATATAAATGTATTTCTATGTGTCTATGTACACACATGCTGTGCACACCCCCGCCCCCCGAGAAATTCATATGTTGAGATAAATATATAGACACATAATTGCACACATGTATGTATACTGGTATGCTCATCCTGGTGGGTGCTTGCACTCTCTCTCTCTGAACACACAAATGCACACAGGTTGATATATCTATGGTTATATAGACTACAGATTTAGCTGTAGATGTAGCTATAGACAGAGAGAGTGTGTGTGTGTGTGTGTGTGTGTATGCACGTGCACAACCATGTGCTCGCATATATGTTCGTGTGGATGGTAACTCTATGATGGGGCACATGTATCTTACTATGTAAAAACCACACAGGTCTTAATAGCTATAAATACATATATCTGTATATACAAGTATATAAAAAGACACCTATAGATGTTGACAGAGAGCTCGGGGGGGGGGGGGTACATGCATGTGCATGCGCAGATGTCCCTCTATGTCTATAAGGATGGAGGAGAATAGGTGGGGCAATTGGTCCCAGCAGTATATATGTGTAGCTACAAACACATAGCTATCTACATACATACTGCCATAGACAGGTATACATACATATAAGGAGAACTTGACCCTGGCAGTGTAATATACTATAGTACACACATGGAGACACAGAATTAGATTTTTATATTATATGTTTATTATTATATTTTATAATGGATTATGTATGCAGATAAATTATATGCTACTTTTAATGTATATATAATAAACAGTGACTATACAGTATAATATATAACGTTCTATACAATATAAAATACAGATAATATACATAATGTATATAATTGTGAGTGATAACATACTGTATATCTTATGCATCTATCTAAATATATGCATATATTCATATGTATACATATGGCTATAGATATAGACAAATATGTGCACGTGTCTACCTTTATATGTATGGAGACTATATGGGGTAATTTGTCCCTCTGCATGTGTGTGTCTATATATATATATATATATACACACACACACACACGTGTGTGTGTGGCTGGCTGTGTATATACGTATATGTGTGGAGACTATATGGCACAATTCACCCCAGTGGCATGTACGTGTGTGTACACACACACACATATATATGTGTCACTGTGTGTGTATATGTGTACATATTGATGTACATACACGCGTGTGTGTGTGTGTGTGTGTGTGTATATATGTAGACAGCCTCCCCCCCCACTGGAGCCAATTGCCCCATATAGTCTCCATCCATATAAACATACATGCATGCACATGTGTGTCTATAGCTATATGTGTACATATATATGTATAGAGTACTGAGATAGTTACTATACTATATCTATTATACATATATATGTGTATATGTATACACACACATATCTATCTACACACCTGTGTGTGTGTATGTATACGTACTTGTAGATATAGGTATAAAGCCATACGTGTATGTGTGTGTATAGGCACATATGTTGACAATCTATGGGGCCATTGGCCCCGTCAGAAGGCATGTACGTACATATATGTGTGTGCCACCATGCCGTGGCTGAGGTGACCCTCTGCATGGGGGCTGAGGGGCAGCTCCAGCTGCTGGGGGGGCTCACGGGGTGTCTGGGGGGGCCCAGCCCTGCCGTGTGGCTCCGGCTGATGCTGCCGCACTCGCCCTGCCGCAGGCTGGCACCAGCAGAGACATCTTCCCCCTCAGTTACAAAAACGCTGGCGCTGGGGATCCCCCCTCCCCGCAGCGTCACGGGGGTCCCCAGGGGACTGTGCCTCCGGCCACTTGGACTTGGTGGAGCAGGCAGCCAGGACAGACATGCTGCTGGGAGATGTGCCCTTTGCCAGGACACACAGAATCATAGAATCATTTAGGTTGGAAAAGATCGTCAGGATCGAGTCCAACCATCAGCCATGCCCACTAAACCATGTTCTGAAGTGCCTTGTCTACACACTTTTTGAATACCTCCAGGGATGGTGACTCCTGGGCAGCCTGTTCCAATACCTGACAACCCTTTCAGGAAAGAAATTTCTCCTAATATCCAACCTAAACCTCCCCTGCCGCAACTTGAGGCCATTCCCTCTTGTCCTAAATGTCCTGGAGCAGCCCATTCCTGCAGCTCTGTCAGCTTCCCCCCCGCCCCGAAAACCTTCGGGGTGTCGTGGAACGGGTGGGCACTGCTCGCTGCCTCTGTCTGTGCGCGGTGACAGACCCCGGAGCTCTGGCTGCGGGCACACGATGCCCACCCCAAGGCTCAGTAACGCCCTGCTGCTGAGCACAGCCTGCCCCAGCACCCCCAGTAAATCCCCCTCTGCCGTCACCAGTCTCTTCTTGCAATATTGATAGTTCCTCTCGCCTGTATTTACCCTCGTCTCGTTGTATTCGTAGAGAACATTTGTCTCCCTCCTTCAATAAAACCCATCTGCATGACATGCCAGGGATCGGGTGCGCTTCGCTGTCGGCCCGTGCCCCTGGCACTCGGTCGGTTTGCAAAGACCGCTATCGGTGCTCCTCAAACAACGCCAAAACAAATGGGCTTTGAATGGGCAGGAAGGCAGCAGCGCCCTGGCACACCCCATGCTCCGCAGCGATTGATTGCTCGCTCTGCAGAGTGCTTTTCACAAGGAACAAACAAATTGTTTTGCAATTTCTGGCTCTTAATGGCTCGATCTGGGCCAAATGAGCCGTCAGGGTGATGGGGAGGCAGCCACCACTTCCTCCAGCGCCATGGGCCGGGCAGACCCTTGACGCAGGTTTGCAGCCCGACCTGCAGGTGCTCGGGCCGGTCCCTTCTCCCAGCGCTGGCTGCACCGCGACAGGCTGGACCTAGGAAAGCCAGGACTTACGGCGTCTGCCTCTGCCTGGCTGGGTCTGGCTCTCTTGGCCCAGCCTTATCCGCACTGGCCGAGGAACGCTGGGCCAAAGCGGTGCCTCCTTCTTGCGACTGAATGGCTGCGAGCAGCCCCGCAAAGCCCAGCGGGGAGAAAGCCTGGCTCCACACACTGAGCAAGGCCCCAGCGCAGGCAGGAGAAGTTGAATTTTGGAGGCAGAAGCAGACCAGAGATTGTGCTGCATCAGGCTGCAGTCACGTACACATGCCCCAGTGTGACTGTCGGTCTCAACGCTGCCTGCACTCGCTCTCCGAGTGCAGGCAGGGCTCGAGGTCACCTGCACTCATAGGTGCTTTGCGTAATTGTGGCAATTTGGTTTCCAAGAGCAAAGTCTCCCAGGAAAGTAAATGGCAGCAAAGTGAACCCAGCGCTGCACTGCAGCGCATGGAAAAGGGGTGGAAAACCACAGTCGTTGCAGGCAGCGAGTGAACAAACAAGACTCTCTTCTTAGAAAGCTGCCAAAAGCACAAGTGGCCGCCCAGGCAGCTCCCGGTGTTTCCGCCACCGCGCCGACAGCAAGCGAGCCTCACCAAAACACCGCAGCCCTCGCAGCGGGCAGGCCAAAAGCTGCAGCCACAGCATCGCCTGCCGTGGGATGGACAAGGCTGGGGGTGCCCACGGAAGGAAACCATGGACGTTCTGCGCCCCTTCTGACAGACTGGAGTACGTTTCACGTTGCTTTTCCACAGAAGGTGTTGCCAGCCTCAGTAACCAGAGCTGCTCTAAAATGCATGTTTTACCTGAGGCGACTTTGTTTTTGCTTGTTGGGGAGCTCCTAAGGTCCGAGAGGAAAAGGGCCCCTCAGCCCCCACCAGAGCCTGGCACTGGGTGACAGAAGCCCCCCCTCCTCACCCCAGCGGTCCGGCTCTGCTGGAAGCAGAAGTGCTGAGCAGCCTGGGCAGTCTTACAGGAACAAAAAAGAGCACAAGACTGGGTGCGAGGGTTAAGGAACTCCAGGCCAGGAAGGGAATGACTCAACACCCACCCACTCACAGGCTGTTTACCTCAACTCCAGTCAGGGACTGGAACACCCAGACAGCACCAAGGGTGCTCGTCTCCCCACTCCCACAGCAGGTCACAGGGGGAAACGCGCCCCAGCACCCCGCAGAGCTCCCCGGGGCTGCACGTCCCCCCCCAGCACTGCTCCCACCAGTGGCAGGGAAGCCCACCAGGCTCCCGCTCTGACCAGCGTCACTGCTTATGGAGAGCAAGGCACATTGGCTTGAGAAAGCAACTGAATCCACCAAGCAACTGCTTTTGAAAACCATTTTTATTTAAATAAGACTTTAAATACATTACATAAAACATTAAAAATGAAACCAAAAATCTGTTACTTCACAGGGCATTAGGCAGCAGTTGCTAGGATCACATAAGCTCTGCGGCTCTATCTACAGTGATACTTGTTACATTAGTCCAAAATTGATCCCTTGTCAAAAGTTTAACCCAAGGCAACGGTTCCTTTGAGTACCCCAGTACCTTGGGGCTTGTAGGGTACCGGCACCTGCCAGGCCTGAACCGCAGACATCCAGCCTTGAAGTCACTCTTCAGTTACTCCTCTTGTTCATCATCAAGCTTCCCCAAATCCCTCTGCCACCAGGAGCCAACACTGCCTAGAGGGAAGGTGCTATCTCCCCATGCCATGTCACAGCTCGCGCTCGGTGCCTCGCTCCGTGTAGGACCGCAGGAGGCACCGCCAGAGTTACCGTCCATCAGAATGGAAGAGCAGCTGGACTGAGGAGCGATCCGGACAGTCTCTGGACTGACGGGCCGAGTCCCTTGGCTTAACTTGGAACATCTGGTTACTTTTAGCTGCAGGCTGGACCATGCCAAATGCCCGATTTACCTCTGTTAAATGAGGGACAGCAAGACGAGATAGCATGGGCTCTTGTGAGTTTATTACATCACTGAATTACACTAGTCCAGACTGAATAGTGGACCCAAGAGAGTTACATTACACAAACCGGCTGGTTTTAAACTTATGACAAGGGACAGATGGGAATTTCATGGTAAGGAAATCTTCTTGCATAAAGCTTCACTGACCCACAGGCACTTAAAACCCATGGACTTTCAGCTGGTCGTCTTTAGCCAGTCCAATCTGCAAGAAAGAAAACGCACTTTACAGCACACCGAAGCAGAGAGGCCTCTGCGCACATCCGTATGCTGACTACGCTGCTGTAGAACTGTCAGATTTCTGCTCCCCCCTGAAGTATGGAATGAAGATTAGAGCGCGACTGCAAAGCCTTGCTGGATGGTATTTGCCTCAAGCAAGAATTTCAAGAACAGAAAGAGCTTCCTCCATCAGCCTGCCCTTCTAAGAAAACTGGAGCCCGTGTAGTTTATTAACGCAGACACTCATGTTTAGTTTAACATTTAGCTAGCACGCGCGGCAGAGCGAAGGCATCCTACCTCTACGAGGAACTGGCATATGTTCTTGCGCTGGTCGCCTTGCAACTGAATCACTTCTCCATATTCGGGGTGTTCAATTACAGTACCATTGCAGGCAAATTTCTACAACGCGGAGAAAACCCTCCTTAGTACGACACAAACCGCCGACACCGCTCCCAGACACCGCGGTGGCCCCCCCCAGCCCCTCCACCCTCGCCGACAAGGGGGTCGGCCCCCCCCC